AATGTGGGGATGTGTCAGGTTTGTGTTAGTGAGTGTGCTTTGTTTATTGTTTTAAAAGTCAGGTGTAACACCCGTTTTCCAAAATAGATCGGTTGAGGGCTTAAAGGGATCAAAGGTAAGGTTTCGGGAAATACCTTGTGTTACGACGAGGTGAATGGAGCACTATGACCTAGCATGTCAAATGCTTAACCGCATATTTGCATAGTTGCCACGACGTGGCAAAAGGAAGGCACGACATGACAGTAGTTGCAGCCCAAGCCTATGATCAAGGTTTAGGGCAACCTCTTTAGCCTCCATTGTTGAGTTCTTGAAGCTTTTGGTGGTGTTTTTCGTGTCTTGAATGAGAAGGAAGAATCTTGGTTCTAGATCCAACTTGCAAGTCTTATCATCATCTTTTAACCCTTACTCTGAACCATTATGAGTGCTCAAGTTCCAAGCTTTATGTTCTATGCTTTTAGACTTGGGCTTTTTGTACATTTTTTTATTGTTTGGGAGAGTTTGAATGAATGGATTCCATAAAGTTGGCAACTTTATGGATCCTTGAGATCCCTTTGAGGTTTAATGTTCAGATCTATGAATTGGTTAGGTTTTAGTTCATGCATGTGATTTTTAACCATAGTTAAAAATCATTTTAATGCACTGTTAAGAACATTGTTAAGACCTAGCTTAAGAAAGACATACAGATCTAGCTTAAGAAAGACATACATATAAAGCAACAATTTTTGTGATTCATTGGGTGTACGGAAGCCATCTGGAGGAGATGAGTGTGTGGCTTAATCCATTAAGTTGTCCAAGATCAGTTTCCACAACATGGTAATATGCTCATCACGTCGTCGTGTATGTTGTTGTCGTGATCGTTTTGTCATGATGTTCCCACGTCATGGCCAAGAATCCTTCACGTCATAGTTGACCATTGACTTTTGGGAGTGAGCATGTTGTTATGTTTCTTGGGTCTTCGATTTTGGTGAGTTTTCTTATTATATTATTTATGTCATAGTAGGGGCATGCTAGATTAGTTGAGTCTTAGTTGTTGAAGGTTGTTAATTACTAGGACTATTGATAACCCATAGAGTATCAAGATGTTGGTGATCGTCTAGTTGAGTGCCTTAGGGGGTTGTATGCGGTCATGTAGGCTAACCTTAGAACTCTTGATCTAGGTTTTCTTGCTTGTTCCTTGTTTGGTTGTGGCCTTATTACATATAGTTATGCGTTCAATAGTGGTCTATTAATGATGACGTTAAGTGTTGTGTGAGGATGAGCATGCATACGATTAAGAGTCTTCATCGTTGCTTATGTTTATGTTCTTATTTACTGATTGCTATTATATGCGCATCTACGTTGTTGATAACTCCAAGACTGATGATGGTATCAGAGATTATTATGATGTATTACAGTTGCTGATAACAAATGAGTTTTCTTAACTTGGGTTTTATTTAAAATGGTGTTTTTACCTTATTTAATAATAAACTTTATGTGTGAAAATGGGACGTTACATCAAGTCGTTCTACTATGCATCTCTCCTTGAATGCATGGTATCTTGAAAATGTGTGCAAACAAACTAATCATTTATAGTCATCAAATATCTTTTGATAGGTTTGAGATGTTTATAAAATTCTTAGTCGCGACTTATAAATAGTTTATCATTCGGTTGCTCACGAGACTTTGTGGCGGATGTCGTGATGGAGGCATTGAGTATTCTCTTTTTAATTGTACCATCATCACATAGTGATCAGTGTACACAAGGGCAAATGTAATGACCTAATGATTTTGAAACTCTTTAGGACATCTCCAAAGAGGAAAAAAAGTTAGTTTTCATCGGTCAAAAATTGAACTATCACAACAAGTATGTTGGCTATCAAGATGTCTCTCTTAGACATAAACATAAGGTGTTTTGTTGGTGTTGGCTCAGTCTTCATAATGAAGTAACTACTTCATCACCATCGAACAAAAACTATAGCGTAGTCGTCATATGAACTCAATAACCCGTGTAACAATTGTTGACAAATGTAAAACTGCAAATCACTATACCGAAGACAAAATGGATGAAATATAGATGAAATTTCCTTCAACAATGAACTATGTCGCACTAGTACTTCCTTGTTCAGGTTAATCTACAAGAAACATCAGTCTCTTCGTTCTCCGTTTAAGTCTATTGGTTCCTCATACTCACCCATGAAAAATGAATTATGCCTACTTGGTTCATCGTTTAAGTCCATGAATGATAAAATATACATTGGTGGTTCCTGATTTAAGTCTAAACAACTATATTTGTAAGAGCTTAATTTTAATGCTGAAAACTCTTCACTTTTGAGACATCCAGAGTTTTTTTAATGGATCCGTTTTCTTTAAATAATTGTAATTGATATGATCTAATTGATTGTTGAATATTTTTTAAACTTTGCATATAGGATCAACATTAAGATCACCATGTTCATAGATATAGAAGACACCAAATCAAGCTTTCTCCAAAAAGAATAACATACAAAATATCATAAATTGATTATAAATCTAAAATCATTATTTTAGTCCAATAGCTTACTCAGGCATGTATCGACATACATTGCAAGTTTGCGAGCACAAAGTAATCCAAAGCATGTCCGCAATTAACGTCCACAATTCTCGTGGGTTGTTACAAATCTTTAACGTCAAAAAATCATGTGCCTTCAAATACTACCAATTCTTCAAATGGACAATTATATTTTTTTGTCTGTGCATCTTTATTTTTGGCTAAGCGGTGGTTAATCGATAGATTAATCGGGAACCATTTTCAAAAATTTATAAAACTATTATTAATCCTCCAAAATAAACGATTAATCGGCAATTAGGTCCGACTTTGACATGGATTGACAAAACTAGATTAGATCGGATTAATTCGATTAGGTCCGATTAATTCCGACTTTGACATGCATTGACCAAGCCCGATTATAATGACCGGTTAGCAATAAATCTCATCGGTGAAGGTCCGATTTCTACAGCACTGATTATTACCTTTGATCATTTAGTGACGATGACGCAACCTTCGAAGTCATTAAATCTCCATGAGATCTAAAGACCTAACAAATGAGAAAAAAAAAACATGCTAACATTGCTTTGTCATTAAATCTCTACCATCTAAATATCTCGTAGAGATTAACTTATATGTGCAAATGTGGCACATTCTCAAAGTTATGTCATCGTCACTAAACGATCAAAGATAATAATTAATGGCTTCATCTCAAAAATAGTATTTGGTTGTAATTGTGGTGATATATCCAAAAATAAAGATGCACAAACAAAAGAAATATAAATATCATTCAAATTGGTAGAAAAGTATTTGAAAGCACATCATGTTTGGACGTTGAGGTTTTGTAACAACACTAGAGAATTATGGGCGTCAACTGCACACATGTTTTACCATGTGATCACAAACTTCTTGCAATGTATGTCAATAAAGGGTCTGGTTAATCTAATGATTAATACTGACATTTTTATATTGATTTATAGCCTTCTATATCTTTGGAATATGGTGATCTTAATGTTAATCATCATATGCAAAAGTTTTGCTTATTCTAGATTCTATTGATTTGTAGCCTTCTATGCCTATGGCATATGATGATCTTAATGCTAATCATCATATGCAAAAGTTTAAAGAAATATTCAATAATCAACCAGATCATATCAAATATAATAACTTAAGAATGGAGGAGATAAGGGGTCAAAAAAAATTGATCAACGAACCTTTGGTTAAAAACCGCTTGACGCCTAAAAGTTGAAACGTTTTAACCATCAAAGTCAAGCTCCTCACAAATACAGTTTTTCAATCAGGGATCACCAAGGTATACTTCATCATTCATGGACTTGAATGATGAACCGACTGGGCATACTTCATTCTTCATGGGTCCGTACGAGGAACCAATTAACCAATGTTCATAATACATAGACTTAAAGGAAGAACCAATATACTAATGTTCATACTAGATTGATTTGCATAAGAATGTTCATACTAGATTGATCATCAGCATTACATTTGTCAACAATTGTTAGACGGATTATTGAGTTCATATGACGACTATGCTAGAGTTTTCATTGAATGGTGATAAAATAGTTACTTCATTATCTTTCTTTATAAGAATGAGTCGGCACCAACAAAACACCGGATGCTTATGCCTAAGACACATCCTAATAGCCAACAAGTTTGATGTGATGATCTAATTATGATCAAAAGAAGGCTTTATAACTTTTTTTTCCTCTTTGAAAAGGTCTTAAAAAGTTTAAAAATCATAAGGTGCTTACACCAATCACTATGTGATGATACAATTTGAAGGAGAGTAGACAATACCTCCCATTGTGGCATTATGGATGTGCCACAAAACCCATCAGGCATCAGCAACCGAATAACAAACTATGTATAAATCGTGACTAGAATTTTACAAGTAACACAAACCTACTAAAAGATATTTTATGACTATAGATGATTAGTTGTTGGTTATTTTTGCTATGTAATATTTATATTATTATCTTACCAAAAAAATTATATCATTGTTTTTTTTTTTTTTTTTTTGAAAGAGAAAATTATATCATTGTTGAAAATTAATAATAATGATAATAATAAAGATAGTAATAATAATATAATGATTAAATAATAAAGTTAATAATAATAATGTAATAAGTAATAACTAACTAATAAAGTTAGTGAAATAATTAGGTAGTATAATAAGCTTATAGACGAAGATGTCCACAAGAATATATAAAAGGGAAAAAAATGGTTGTTCGTAATATGGGCCTAAAATGGGGGTTCTTTTGGGTGAGACTATATCTTTGAGGCCCATGATTATTAGTAAAGGGAAAACTCGGGTCGGTCATAATATGGGCCACTCTGATGCCCTAGGTAGAATATACAGATGAGAAAGTGTTTGTGAGTATGTTAAGGCTTACTAATGTTGTTTTAATCTATAAAAATGTTATAAAATCTCACAAATACCCTTTCAATTTGTATTACAAATGTGTTTTGAGGTAGTAATTCAAGTAGCTAGGGCAGAAAATTGACGGTGGTCAATTGCAAAACCTGCAAAACTGTTTTGAATGTTAAATGTTAGTCCACACTGAAGATATAAATTATTATTTAAATAAATATTGGTTCGTGACTAAAAGAAAAAACATAATCATATAATAAAGCTGAAAATCCTTAGGCTCAAGAACGTGAGCTAGGTTCGTGTTTTCCTAGGAATTTCTAAATATGGAATATCTTGCATATTTATATACACTTCATCCTCAAAATGGATCAATATGACAAATATTGACAGTTATTTGTCAAAACCAAACAGCAAACCACAAATGCACTTATTACTTTTTTGAAACTAAATGGTGAAATATATTAAAATCACAATATCTTTATATGACAAAATGAGAAAAATAAAGCTATTTGGTAGCCATAAGAAAAAAAAAAAAAAAGTCTTAATATTATAATTGGTTAGATTTTAAAAAAATAATCTCATAATACAAAAAATATAGCCCATACTGTTATAAACTACAATGTCTTAATAAGAAAAAAGTGAGTGTAATCCCACAATTGGTAATATATTTAAGGTTGATATTTTTGCCTGCTACAATGGAAAAAAAAGTAAAAGTACATCTAAACAAGATGGATTTTCAAATAATAATAATAATAATAATAATAATAATAATAATAATAATAAATAGAAAGAAATGCCTTGAAAAGAATAAAAGTTAAAATGTACTAATTGGTTTTGTTTTGAAAGTACAATGCAATAATCGAAAAAGTATACTGCTATAAGTGGTTATATTTTCAAATTACAAAAGTAAATAAAATTAAAAGTATCACACTTTAATAAGTAATAAAAGTGAAAGTGGAATGCTATAAGTGGTAATCAGAATCAAACATGTTGAAATTTTCAACATACAAATGTCTTGATACAAAAAAAGTACATCTTTGTAGGTACTATTTTGAAAGTATAATATCAAAAAAAACGTTGAATATATGCAGGATTTTCAAAGTGCAATGCATGATGTTTATATTTTCAAAGCATAACATTTAAATAGTTAGATTTATAAAAGTAAAATGTCATAATAAGAAAAATTATATGTAGTTGAATATCTACATAGGAAAAAATAAAAGTATAATTTGGTAATTAAAACCAAAGAAGGTTTGGTTTTTTTAATGTTTTTGTTTTGTTTTTCCGGCATTTGAAATTTCTGGATTTCCAACTGGAATATGAGATTTTTGAATTAATAAACCTGTAGTGAGATTTTATTAAGGTTTTAATTTGTAGGATTTTATTAAGGTTTTAATTTGTTTTTGCTAAATAAATAAACTATGATGTTTTAATACATAAAAAGTTAAAAATGTAAAGCTATGCCTCGTAAAATAAGTTTAGCTTTAAAGTACAATTTCTTAATAAGAAAAAACAGAACATTATCACTGTATAAAATTGTAAATGAAGTATAATATTGGAAATGATTAGATTTTCAAACTACAATGTCTTTATAATAAAAAATAATTTTAACAATTATGCTAAACTAAATAAAGCAAGTTCAGATTTTAATTGTATGCCTTATCAGGTCAGATATTGAAATTATAAAACAATAACAAAAACTCTAATTCTAAATAAATTCAAAATCAAACAAGCTTAGGAATTCAAAGTACAATGTTTTAAGAGTAAAAAATTAAATACAAAATTTCTTATAATAGGTGGGATGTTGAGACTATAATGTTATAATTGAAAGTATAATGCCATTTAAAGGTTAGATTTTCAAAGTATAGTCAATATCTAAATGGGAAAAAGAAAAAGTAGGTCTTAATCAAAATAAATTTGAAAGTTCAATGGTTTAAAAGGAAAATGCTATTTAAGTTTAATATCTTAATAAGAAATTAAACTTAACTCTAAGAGGTGACCTACGTTAAAGATACATATTAAAAACATAACATCTTAATAGGAAGAATAATGAGAAGCATAACACTATTTGGTTACCAAAAGTAAACACGTTTAGGTTCCAAAAATAATACATTAGATTCCTGAAGTGTATAAAAAAACAGATCTAGAATGTCTAAAAAGAGATTTTCAAAGTGCAATCTTAAAATGTAAAAATAAAAGTATAATTTGGTAACTAGAACCAAATAAGATTAGATTTTCAGTTTTTTAAAATGGAATATCTTAATAGGAAAAGAACAAATTTTAAAATTACAGGTGAAAGTAAAAAGTCTTATTAAAATGTGTAATGCAATAATTAATAACAAACAAAAAAAAAAGATTATGAAGGTACAATATCTTAAAAGGGAAAAATAAAAAGAAGAATATCTTCTAAACAGATACGATTTTGAAAGTATGATGCCATAACTGTAAATTAAAATCAAACAAGTTTAGAAGAGATATAATGTTGAAACTCTAATGTTGTAACTGAAAGTACAATGCCATATATGGTAACCAAATTAAAAGATTAGATTGTCATAAAATAATTCTAATATTGGTTACATTTTGAAAGTACAAAAATGAAAAATTAAAATTACAATGTTTTGATGGGAAAAAAAAAAAAGCTAAAAGTATAATGCAATAAGAAAAAGTTTGAGTTTGTTAAAGTAAAGTACTACAATGTCTAGCTTTAAAAAATATATATGAACCAATCTGAATAGTATAAAGCAATGGTGTTATAATTGTGGTATAATGTCTTTATCGAAAGAAAATAATTGAAATTGTAATGCTTCAACTGGCAACCAAAACGGAACAAATATCAATATACACACACACACACACACACATATATATATATATATATATATATATATATATATATATATATATATATATAGAGAGAGAGAGAGAGAGAGAGTAATATAAACTAATTAATAAAATCAAACAGTTTAGTTTTCTTCAAACAAATATACAATGACTTATTATGACAATTTATAGTCTTCTTAGTATAATGCCACAATTGGTAATCAAAATTAAAGTTGCATCTTTTTAAACTACAATAATAAGAAAGAAAAAACAAAAGTACTTCTTGAAAAGTTGCATTCAAAGAATAGATTAGAATAGAAAAAAAATAATGCTGCAAATGGTTAGATTTTCAAAGTAAGTTTTAATGAGAAAAATAATAGAAGTATAATGTTTTCATAAAAAAACTATATGTATATTGATATAAGCACTAACAAAAAAAAAAAAAAAGTAGTATAGATTTTTATAATACAGTCTTATTAGAAGTTAGATTCTATAATTGCAAAGCCTTAACAAGAAAAACAATCAACATTACAATGTCTTGATAGGTTAGATTTTGAAAGTATATAGATACAATTGAAAATATAATTTTACGCAAAGGATAAAAGTACAATGTCTTAATAGAAAAAAAAATTATATATTTAACACAATAATAGGCACCAAAAATCTACCAAATGTAATTTTGTAATGTACAATGTCATAACAGGAATTGTAATGTATTAATAAGATAATATAGAAGAAAGTAGAATATTATAATCAATCAACAAAAACAGCTTTATTTTTTCAAAGTACATGTCTAATAGGGAAAAAAAACTAAAATTTCTTAATATGAAAAAATAGATACATACCACCATTAATGGTGACAAAATCAAACAAGTTCAGATTTTTGAAACAAATTAGATTTTTAATGTACAATCTCTTAAAGAAAAAAAACTAAAGTACAACTCATAACCAAAAACGAAAGTATAATTCTACAATTGGTTAGATTTTCAAACTATAATGTCTTTAATGAAAGAAAATAATTGAAAATATAATGCTACAATTGGTAACCAAAATCAAACAAATTTCAATGTAACATGTTTTAAAAGGTTTGATTTAAAAAAAAAAAAAAAAAAAAAAAAAAAAAAAAGGTTAGATTCTCAAAGTGCAACAAGTAAAATGCCATATATGATAAGATGTTCGAAAAGCACCATCTTAAAAAGAATATATATATATATATATATATATATATATATATAATGCTATGCGACAAGATTTTCAAAGTAGAGTGTTTTAATGAACAATTTTGATAGTACATCTTAGAAAGAAAGATTTTGAAAGTATAATGCTATAAATGAGACCATAATGCCATAATTGGTTAAGACAATGTCTTAAGGGACAAAATTGGATGTTCAAAGTACAATGTCTTAATAGAAAAACTAACACAAAAGTTGTATTGTCTTTATAGTTAGAAGATATGAGGCTATATTTGAAGAATATTACTAGAATTTGTTAGTTTTTAAAGCTACAATGTCTTTATAGAAAACAATAATTAGAAGAATATTACCAAAATCAAACTTGTTCAGATTTTAAAGAGTATTAAGTTTTAACAAGTTAGATTTTCAAAGTATGTCTCTATAACACAAAGTACAATGCTAAAATTATAATGTTGGATTTCAAAAATATAACGCTATAATTATTAGTATAGTTTCATAGATGTTTAGATTATCAAATTACAATAAATTAATAGAAAAAAAAAAATTAAATCAATGTATTGATAAAGATTTGAACTGTAATACTGTATTTGATATCCAAAATCAAAAAAAGTTTAGATAGCCAAAGTACAATGTCTTGGGGAAAATTCAATGTCTTCAAATGCTAAAAAAAAAAAAAAAAAAAAAAAAACAGAAGTACAATGTAATTGAAGGTATAATGCCATAATCGGGTAACCAAAATCAAAAGGTTTCAAATTTCAAAGTACAATATCTTAATAGGCTAAATCTTCATGTACTCTTTATAAGGAAAAAGATTTTAAAAAAAGTATAATTTCTTAATAGGTTAATTCTTGAAAACATAACGCTATAGAATATCTTAATAAAACGAAACTACTGAGAGTTTAATGACAGAAATGGAAACAAAATGTCATGAATGTTAAGCCTAATAAGTGTAGTTTAGCTTCTTGCCTTTGCATCTGCATCGTATAATGGTGAGCTTTTTTTTCCAGATTTCTAGGTGCTCTCAACTGCTCCTGTTAAGTTATTGTATCAAATAGCCACAAAAAGAGGATTTGTTAGATGATAATAGCTGAAAAAGGTAGAATATAAATACATAAATGTGGCAGATTTATGTGTTGTTATTAGCCAAAATTACAATAAGATTAAAATCGAGTAAGCACTATCACAAACGGAATTACTTTGACCAAATTACTTTGCTCATAACTGCGAATCAATGGAAAAGAAACACAAACACAACAAACTGTGATCTGATAATATTGTTTGTTCATAAAACTGCTGAAGGGATTCTGAAAGACATTCACGAAACCATCGAAACACACAAGAACACTGGCGAATTGATCAACAAAACCATCTAAACACAGCAGACACGCTATATTAGATTTTACAGCAAAACTCCCAATGAAAAGAAAAAGAAGAAAATCCCCAACGAAAGGATCAACAAACCTATAGAAACAGTCTGTAATTTCCTTCCCTTTTGAGATGCAATGAAACTAGTTCAGTTACTTAAACCCAGAAAATCAGTTGTTTACAGATATAGAAACGCCATCGAGATAATGGAGACGAAGACAGGGTAAAACCAGAAAACCTGATGCGAAGAGAAAGAACTAAGAAAACAGCAATTAATCTTCGATTTTTCTCATTCCTACATAAATTTTAAACTCACAGAGGAAATTACAGCATCTTAGTACAGAAACCCCTGAAACTTACAACAATCTTGATGATTCTTGGATTAAAGACATGATGAGTCTCCTGCCAAGGATTGGGACTGGGGGTGTTTGGGTCTCCGGGGACCGGATTTACAGAGATCGGTCTAAGCTTTCCGGCAACCGGCGGAGTTTGGTTCTGTGAGAGCGGACGATTGAGATATATTATGCACACCGACCCAACCCTTTCGACTTTCTAACGGTTAGTTATTTATTTACTTTTATATTTAAAACTTTTCCATAATTAAGACTTCCTATTAAATCATCTATTTATTAATATATAAAACAGCTTAAATCTATCCATTAAAGTTTGATTTCTATTTTTTATAAAATAATATATTTATTTACTAAATACTTACGCTTTTATATAGGAGATGCCATCACCAATCATAGAACCAAGGCCTCTCTTAGGTCGGACGGAGTGGGTGCGGGAAAGGGATGAGGGAACCTGCACACCACTCTGTAGGTGAGGGAAAGAAATGCGGGAAAAAAGGTGGGGGGAGAGGGTGCCGCACTCTTTCTCCTCACGCTTTTTTTTTTTTTTTTAATATTTATAAAATTATATACTTATTATAAAAATATAAAAAAATATATTAAAATTCATGGTTTTTAATTCCCTACAAAATAAGTATAATATATGTATGAAATATATTAAAAAAAAAAAGTGGGGGAAGGGCTTCCCACCCATTTCTTAGCTTTTAGGTGAGGGAAAGAGAGGTATGGCCCACCAAAAGTGAGGAAGAGTCCCTCCCACACCTCTGATCTTAGGCATATACCTCCCGATCACACACCAATTCGTTTATGTATAAACTCAGGGGTATGCTCTTATTGGCAAAGTAAAGTCGTTGTATCACCTTGGTCACCTACCGACGTTTCTATCCATCCACTATGACAAATGTGCAAAGGTCAAGCATGCATGATGTATGATGGTCATTATCAAATTTGGTTCATCGGTCTTGGCCAAGGAATTTTTGGAGAATATGTAATGTACCAAAATCACAATGTATAAATTTTATTTTTGATTCAACCATAAACATTATTTATCCATTTTAATCATTCAAAAATATATCACAATAAAATAGTTATCAGAATACGATCTCAAAATCACAAAGTGCGGAAACAATGGTGGATACGTTGCGATCATGTCGGGTCCTTCCTTCCTGAACCGGAAGTACCTGAAAACATAAACATAAATTGTAATCATAAAGCTTAGAGAGTTCCCCAAAATACTTTATGTCATACATATCAAACATACAATGGACCATGCCCAAAAACCATCGGGCCCCGCCTGACATCAAGCCCCACTCGGAACAGATCTGTCAGAACATGAGATGGGCCCCGCTCATCAAATTCATCAGGCCCCACCTGGTATTGGGCCCCAGCCGATATTCATATAGACAACTAAACACATGCAAGAATCACTAAGATAAATATCATATAATACACCCATTAGGTCTCGCCTGGCATCAAACCCGACCCGGTATATATATATCTCATACTACACATGCAAGAGTCACGCAGACAACTAGCATCCTAATCGTAATAAATCATGGGCCGGAATTTTGCCTTCGACCCGCTAAACATTGTGAGGAGACGTACCTCTAACTACTGAAACAACTAAATAAATGCTTGGATTGCTGATCCGAAAAATCCTTGCGCTAAACAATCACATAAAACCCTAATTAATAATTGGGACATAAACTATAACTAGGAATCTCATCCATATGTCCAACTCCCAGGGTAAAATATCATTTTACACTTTCCTTACATAGCCCAACTTATCCAAGCCCAAAAACCAAAATGGCCCAAGGCCCAAAATTGATCTAATGGGCTTCTAAGAGAACGCATGGCGTCCACTTAATGACGTTTGGCGTCCGAACGCCCAACGTTCTAACCCAAACACATGACGTAACCATAGAATCCAAAATCCTTAACAAAGGTCTTAATGGCTTAAGATCTAACGTTCAAACTTCAGATCCAATGTTAAAAGAACGTCTAAAGTCATAAAGTTGCAAGCTTTATGACTTTGCATGGCTACAAAGAGCCCAACACCAAAATATAACTTAAATCACACTCTAAAGTTCCAAAACTCTTGCATGGAAGAGTATCAAGGTCCAAGCTTGCATTTTTATGATTTTAAACCATCCAAAATGCTTGAAATGACAGCCTAAACCTCTTGAGCATTCCAAACTCACAAAAGTCAAGTTCTTGGGACCAAAAAGAACATAAAACTACACTTAAGCAAGATATAATAAAGAAGTCATCAAGATCTAAACTTTATACCTCTAAAAGGTACTCCGAGATGCCAAGAGTCCAGATCCAAAGGCTAGAGAGAAACACCAACACTCCAAAGATCTTCCTTCTCCACCAGGAACACAAAAACGATACCAAAATGTTACTCCAAGGCTTTGAAACACTCACATACACTTAGGGTTTCAAAATAAGGTCTATAAGGGACGGAGGTTGTAGATAAGAAACATTATGAGGCTATAATGGCCTTTAAATAGGGTGAAACCCCTGAAAATTAGGGTTTGTCCTCTACGTGTGAACGCCTAGCGTCTACAAACGCCTAACATTCTGTCACACCCCCAAACCGAATTGGCGGAAGCATTCGGGGGTGGAGGACGTCATGTACAGCATCACAACAATTGCATCATAGTAATCAAAGTAAACACAACCATTACACTAAAATATAGATAATTATATATGTTTGATACATAGTTTGTATACATCAAAAGTATAACAAAATATAAAAGACGTGACTCTATACGCTCTGTCTTCTCAAAAGCCTGTGGGAGTACCTATCTACTGATTCCTGAGAATATAAGCGATTTTTGAAAGAGTATCAGCATTAAGCTGGTGAGTTCATAAAAATGTTTTTATAATGAAAATATGTCATTGAATTTGTAAAAATGTTTGTATGCTTCCCAAGAAAATCCAATATTTTCCAACATATAAGTTTGTTACTGTGTTTTGTAGTGGTGTATAATGTATTAGTTCGTATGGCTGGTTACAACCAGTTGTATTGTATATCGTTGTTTTGAATGAAAAACCCTTTGTATGAAAACCTTGTCTATCACCAGTAATGTATAGAATGTTTTGTTTGAAAACCTTGTTTACCATCAGTATGATTAGTAGTTTTATTACTTAAAATAAAACAATGTATTGTATCCCTGGAATCCTCCAGTGTAATGTATAGTAGTTTTATTAATTAAAATAAAACTAATGAAGAATGAAATCATGTAAACAAATGTTAGTTTATACTATTGTGAGTCATATAACCATGCTTGATATGACCGATGACCTCTGCGACGTTCTTCAGGCGTCGGACGATATGATATTTGTCACCCCAGACATGCCTGCCTAACTATAACTAGCAGTTTAGGTGTGGGATTGTCAGTCCCGAATAGATCTATTCACAAATCTCATGCTCTCCCTCCATGAAACTCTGATTACACTAAATGATAGGATTTATTCTTTACCCCGGAGGGTACAATTGAAGAGATGTCTCACAATCCTGTATTAACTAGTTTACGTGTAGTTTGTATTGTTCTCTTGTATTTGAATCCTTTTGTATACCTTGTAGAGTAATAATAGTTATACTTAAATAATTATTTAGTGATGTGCTCTTGAAATCCAAAAATAGTAATGTATAAGCTCTGAATTTGTAAAACTATATATTGAAACCCCAAACTATACCTATTATAGTTTGTGTCACACCCCCGAACCAGACGGCAGAATCGTCCGGGGGCTCGTGTGACTAACAATTAAATAATCATCACAATGAATATACATGAAACATAACACATTCATCACCAACATTACATAATACAACCATTGTTGTTTACATCATGTACATTGTTAAATTACATAGGTTCAAATTGTTAAAAATACGACAATTGATATTACATAGACAAACCAAACACACTTGTAATTCTTCCATCTTAATGATTACCTGAGAATATAAGTTATTTTGAAAACATCAACTTATATAATGTTGGTGATGAATGTGTTATGTTTCATGTATATTCATTATGATGATTATTCAACTGTTAGTCACGCGAGCCCTCGGACGATTCCGCCGTCTGGTTCTGGGGTGTGACATGTTGGTATCAGAGCAATGTTTATAGTGAACTAGCATATCTAACCATACATGATATGCAAATATAAACACAATGGGACCAAACAACTCTAAACAAAACAAAATTTTAACATTTGTGTATGCATATTAGGATAGTAACCTAACGATACTTAATAAAAGCTTCTGGAGGAAATTGAACACTATGGTTAAACCTGGGCAGTTATGTAGTCATATTAGGGATAAATATAGCATGATCAGGTATATTTATTCAGAATATGACCAACATGTGTTCAAGAGTAACTATAGCAGGAAATGAATCCAAAAGCCTACCCCACTCTCCAATAACTCTAGGGAATCCAAACACTAATAATTAAAAATACTATGAGAATAATCAAAACATGACTCGTTCCCACGCCCCATGCAGTCACCATGGACGATGATCAGCAAGGGGTACACTTCTACCAAGCGCTAGTGGCTTAAGGAGTGCTTGAGGAGGATCCTGAAGAAAACCCCAAAGGATGCCCTGTCATGGGTCAACAGGTAGGACCTGAAGTGGAACCAGAAGAGTATGTGGTAACTGATTACGAATATGACGAGTCTGACCGGGAGTCAGATGAAGGAAAGGACATTGAGGAGGCGTGCAATGAACCCTATCTATCGAAAGCCCCATCAGATCCACGTGCGGTTCAGAGGGGTGATGCATACCATTTATGCTCTCTTGAGGAAGAAATAACAAATCTCAAGCGTCAACTCTTTGCGACCGAAGCAAGGGCTGTACGAGCCGAGCAAAGGGTAGAAGTAATCACCCAAGAGGCAAACGAACTGGCTGAACTTCTAATACGTCAACTCGATGATTGAGTGCCATCGTCAGCACTACTGATGGGACTTGCTCTACTACTTGCTATATAGGTGTCACAATATGTGAAACCAGCCATATCTCCTACTAATATTGTGTTCCTTCTAACGCGTACCACCCTATGTACTATCGACTCTATGTTTAAGTGATTACCCTACTCACAGGGTCATCATGCTACCGGATTTTATATGTACAGTATGCCTTTTTGGCAACTTTTCATGTATCAAACCTATTAGTATTAATGAAAATGCTTTATGTTTTATCATGAAGTTGTTATCTGCTATGTGTTTTACTTCCTTGTTTTATGTCAAAATGTGAAATTACTTAAGTAGATGTCATACCCATATACTATAGGATCGCAACTCATAAAAACCATAGGCACTCAACGTCTTTCCGTTCCATGACAGAAAGATGCCTCAAAGACCCAACCGTGGAAACAATGCAACGCCAACCC